TTGCCCAAATAGTCCCACTGGAAAACACCCATGTGTGCAAAGCAGCTTCACCCTCAGCAGGGACAGGTTTTCTCATTCTCCCTTTAAGTGCTGCCTCTTTTAACTACCAGACAGACAGGAAACAAGTAAAAGTCCAAGGGTTGCTACACTTTTTCCCTCCATACAAGAAACTTGTGACCTGTGATCACACAAAACCCTGTTTCTGCTTGAGTCAATGTAAGAAATACAGGCGGCACACATGCACCTGCCAAGGACTCATTGAGCACTGAGCTGAGGCAAAGCAGACACACTGGTACAGAGGGACATATCCTGCGTGCCTCCCCACAGCCTGTTCTGCATGTTGGTGGCCTTGGCCTCCTCTGGTATGGGTGTTTCACACTTAGGTGTTTCACATATAGCTAAGGATATATTAAGCAGGAAGCATTGTCCCAGGTATACAGTAAATCACATGGACCTGAGGGGAGACAGGGATTAGATAAAAGCAAGCAGAATGTGTCTTCAGTTAGATTTGTCTGGGTGTTAAGATAATCTAATCCTACACTGTTTTATTCACATTGCACAATCAGCTGTGGGTTTTTTTTGTTTTTTTGTTTTTTTGTTTGTTTTTTTGGTTTTTTTTTTTTTGCTTTGCTTTTTTAATTGTTCTACAGGATCCAATGCAAACCAGAAAGTGACTGAGGTCCAAACAGGCCAAGTGGGAAGAAAGAGGAAGAAGCCACCCTAGTCTGTTCATAGGAGACGGCAGAACTTACACCATCTTTACTGCCATAACTCTCTGAGTGCGGAAATGGTTTTCCTTATTCCTCAGTTCTCTTCATCTTGTCAGAATGAAAGGAGTCGGCGGCCACATCTTCTTGCAGAAGCCAGCAAAGTCCATCGGCCTGATCATTTTAGTCTCATAGCTGGAACATTCCATGAATTATTTATGTCTCTCTGGGAAGCAGCTCACTGTGTCTGAAATGACAGCTCAAGCTGAATAAATGTGGGAGCTCCATAAGCACAGCCTCTCTCAGGGATTCCAGCTGAGAAGCACACCTGCACATCCCAGACAAGAAGGTCCTAACCATGGCTGCTTCATCTGCAATCTGCATCAGACGTGTGTTTCTAAGTAACACACCCTTCTACAAAATTTGGATATAATCATTGTGGGCAATTTATTATAATACATTTTTGAATATATTTAAAATTATTAAAATTAGATCAGAAAGAACATATATAGTGATTCCTATAGCTTGGAAGCTTGCATCGTAATTATTTAAAGTGCTAGTTTCCCTTTAAGGTGGTAATAGTGCATACCTAGGTATCCAAAATAACAACTAAATAATTTCCTTGTGAAAATTACCAGTATGACTGAAGTAGTCAGAGATTAATATAAGGAATTCAACCATAAAACTACTGGAGGTGACTAGGATATGCCTGCAAATCTTTGCATTTGCATCTGGCACTGAGCCTGAGGCACTGAAGGTCAGCTAGGCCAGCATCTGGGAAGGACAGCTGAGTGAGGGCAGCACTGGGTTACTGAGATGTGTGAAAGTACAGTGAGACCAATAAGACAATCGGAATCTAGAAGTACAAACCTCCTTGTTTCCTCAGTCTCTCTTGTTTGGGTGAACTTCAGAAGTTATGTAATTGTGCCACATGCTACACACAGAACTGACAGCACATGAGCTGTCCAGCCTGGGCTATTCCTACTGAGGGTGAAGCTGAGAGAACTGCCTGGGACCCAGATCTTCAGAGTCATCTAAAACACAAATGCGGTATTACTCCAGTCTTCCAAGACTTCTATACTCTGTTCCTTCATGTCCAACCCTGAAGCAGAGCC